CTGTGGGGGTGGACCCGGAATAAGAATTAGCCAATGCTAACATATAGCGTTCTTAGCATTGGCCCAAAGCTCCGTTCCACATGTGTGTCAATGCTGAGGGGGGTGTTTTGGACCAGTCTAGTTTAGTCGCATGAATTGAATTGAATTTTTGAAGTCACTCGTTTAAATGAATGGAGCTCGTGCAGCTGACGCATGCGCAGATGCGTTTTTTCACATTTTCCAGCCCCCGCGGCCATTTTTAATCACTTCATGAGAGCCCAATTTTTGGCCCATTAATTAGAACCGCGGAGATAGGCGTGACTACGTCCGTTAATATATACAGTCTACGGTCTTTATGTACCTGCGTCTCTCTCTGTGTCTATATGTACCTGTGTCTCTCTGTGTCTATATGTACCTGTGTCTCTGTGAAAGCCGAAACATCATGAATAAATAAAACAAATGTAAGTTTTGAGTGTGCAATGCTTCACTGCTTCTGAAAGGGCCAGTCCCTGTGCTCCTCAGAGTCCCAGCAGGAGGCCAGTCCCTGTGCTCCTCAGAGTCCCAGCATAAGGCCAGTCCCTGTGCTCCTCAGAGTCCCAGCAGGAGGCCAGTCCCTGTGCTCCTCAGAGTCCCAGCAAGAGGCCAGTCCCTGTGCTCCTCAGAGTCCGGGCTGGTTCATATGGTACTAACATGTCACTAATATATTTTGGGTGGAAGGCCATAGAGAGACTGGTAACAAACAGAGCTATTTTAAAGTATATTCTCTGAGCCACAGGAAGAAAAGCACATGGACAGAATAGAGTCAGAATTGATGGGAAAGTCGATGGAGCAAAACTAGTAAAAAAATAGAAGCATCCTCCTCAAATAAAGCCTTGTCATGACATGGAGGGATTGAAAATGGAACACTTCCCCGTCCAAGTCCAGACCTCCCTAATCCATAAACCGAGGCACGATCTACAAACTGTTCACATTCATTTTTCTCCATGTTTGTATTTAAGATATAGAGATCCTTTATTCATCCCACAGTGAGGAAATGTCAGTGTTGCATCACAAGTTACAGAACAGAAGGAATGAGGAGCACACAAATTAAAATTAAAGAAATCTCTAACTCTAACATAAAAAGGAGAAGTATAAAATCTCTATCTTTAATATAATATAATAATAATAATAATAATAAAGAGTGTATTTAATTTATTTCTTTTTACTTGAAATTGATTGTTGTTTTGTCATTTCTTTTTCGTAATTGTATTCACACCATGATGTATTGCGCTGTATCTGAAAAACAGAATTGTACCTGAACAAAGCAGGCGTCACTGTGGACTGGAAATAAAAGCGAAGCCGAGGGGTGTCTTCCTAAACCGTTTGACAGCGCCTTCGCCCGAGTCAGCAGCACTTTGGCCTCACCTTTTATCTCCAGACACGAGCCCCGTCCACAGAGGAGCGCGATCCCTGCGTCCCGGCGGACTCTTCCAGATCAGAGACAACAGAGCCGCCAGAGAGGAAGCATCAAAGGAGACAGGAGACAAGGAGGAGGGCGAGGTGTCAAGAGGGAGGAGAGAGGAGACGACCTGCACCAACTCTCATGCACCCATCCAGCACTCAGAAACTTGGATTAGGAAGTTTATAATAACATTAATAATAGATCAAACTTATATAGCGCTTTTTTGGACACTCAAAGATGCTTTACAAAACACATACAAAAATAAACATTGACAAACAAAATTAAAGTAGCAATATGTAAGATTTCAAGGACAACTCACCCTCGAATCCACTTTGTTTTGCTGATAAACGGTATAAATGAGTGTCCAATAGTGTTGTGCACATATCCTGGTCATAATTTTGTCACTTTAGTGCAAATTGGTTGAAAGATCAACTTTCTGCCAAATACTGTCTGTGAGGCGCCATCTGCTGGCGACCTGTATCACTACATTTGAACTTTGAATCTGGCGCCAACACTGGCGCAGCAGTGATGGCTGACGTCTGCAGTGATACCTGATGTCTGCAGGGAAGGCTGACGTCAGTTGCCCTGCCGCCCAGTGAGCGTGAACAGGTTTGTGATTAGTTTTAGCATTTAGGTAGATTTTTATTAGAACAGCTGATAATTGTGTAGCGTTAATAGCGTTGTTGTTGAATATTGTAGTTTTAGTCACTATTGCTTTTATTGTCAAGTGTCAATCACAGCCTAGACCCGCCCAACATTCACCCCCCCGCCTGTCCCCTTTAGTCCTCCAGGCTACGCCCATTTGGAGGAAGGTTTGAACAGGAAATGTGAGTGACGTAAGCCTCGAAGGAGCGGGGGTGAGAAGTTCTTTAACTCTGTCACCTCTAGTGTTTTCAATGTTCTGGATACCATCGCTCCTGTGAAGGTAAAAATAGTGAAAAATAAGCAGAAGGCGCCGTGGGCTAAAGCAGACTCGGTCAGTTAATAGATTAACAAACCCCCTGTTCAGCTTCCATTAGAGCTAACTTCCAAACGTAAAAGTAATGAGTTTGCAATTTTTTTTCAATGACAAGGTTCAAGGCATCAAAAACGCCATTGTCTCCAATCCACAGATAACAATCCAACAGCCAGAAAGGCTCTCTGAGCTAACTCACTTTACACCTGTAAATGTTCAAACTGTCCAAGAGATAATCTCCAGTTTGAGCTCCTCCACATGCAGCTTGGATGTACTACCCACTAGATTTCTGAAGTCTGTTCTGAGCAGTCTGTTACCTTCTCTCGCACAGATAGTAAACATGTCCCTTGATTCTGGAATATTCCCAAAGGCCCTGAAAACTGCAGTCATCAGGCCCCTGCTAAAAAGAGCAGTCTGGATGCTACGGTACTTAACAACTACCGTCCCATCTCAAATCTGCCATTTATGGGGAAAGTCCTTGAGAAAGTTGTCTACCTACAGCTAAATAGATTTCTTATAATCAACAACTCATTTGATATGTTTCAGTCCGGCTTTAGACCCCACCACAGCACTGAGACTGCTCTCGTCAAGGTTACAAACGATATCCGGCTGAACACTGACGCAGGCAAAGTCTCAATCCTAATCCTATTAGATCTGAGTGCTGCCTTTGACACTGTCGACCGTGAGATCCTCTTACAGAGACTAGAGGACTGGGTTGGCATCGCTGGCACCGCCCTAAGTTGGTTTAGGTCTTACCTTGAGGACAGGAAGTACTTTGTGGAGATTGGAAACTGTGTCTCAGATAATATGGCCCTGATCTGTGGAGTACCACAGGGGTCGATCCTCGGACCTCTTCTGTTCAATCTCTACATGCTGCCGTTAGGTCAGTTAATACGCAGAAACAAAGTGTCCTATCACAACTATGCAGACGACACTCAGATCTATGTCTCACTGACTGCAGGAGAACATGGACCAGTGGACTCACTCCTTCACTGTATCCAACAGATCAGTGAGTGGATGCAAAACAACTTCCTTCAGCTAAACGCAGACAAAACTGAAATGATTGTCTTTGGTCCCCAGAAACAAAGAGAGAGCGTCATCTGTCACCTACAGTCTCTCTCCCTAAAACCTTCAAACAAGGTCAGAAATCTAGGGGTAATACTGGACTCAGACTTACATTTTAATAGCCACATCAAATCAGTAACATCAGCAGCTTTTTACCATCTAAAAAACATTGCCAGGATCAAAAACATAGTGTCTAAAGCAGACTTGGAGATTCTTATCCATGCATTTGTCTCCAGTAGGTTAGACTACTGCAATGGCCTGCTCACAGGTCTGTCCAAACAGGCTGTAAAACAGCTGCAGTACATTCAAAATGCAGCAGCTCAAGTCCTGACTAGAACCAGGAAGTACGACCACATTAGTCCTGACTAGAACCAGGAAGTACGACCACATTAGTCCTGACTAGAACCAGGAAGTACGACCACATTAGTCCAGTTCTCAGGTCTCTGCACTGGCTTCCTGTGGCTCAGAGAATAGATTTTAAAACAGCTCTGCTTGTTACAAGTCTCTCCATGGCCTCGCACCAAAATATATTAGTGACATGTTAGTCCCATATGAACCAGCCTGGACTCTGAGGAGCACAGGGACTGGACTCCTGTTAGTGCCCAGAGTCAGAACTAAACATGGGGAGGCTGCTTTTCAGATTCATGCTGCTAAAATCTGGAACAATCTTCCTGAAGATGTGAGACAGGCCTCCTCTCTGACAATGTTTAAAACCAGGTTAAAGACAGTTCTGTTTAGCTGTGCATACAACTGAGGGATTTTATATTTTTATCCTTCTTTTTAATGTTCTGTGATAATTTATGATTTTAATGCTTTCTTATTTTGTTCAGCACTTTGAGTTGTGTATGAATTGTGCTATACAGATAAACTTGCCTGGCCTTGCCTACTGCTCAGGGTTGCGTGTGTCGTGTTTTAAAGTTCCACTGCCTCCTACGGGCCGGGCACTAGCACTACATGTTTTCCCGTGGTGGTGCGAAGACAGATCTGAAACGTGGACTTTATATGGTCCCAGTTCTCAGTGGAAGGAGACTAGATTTAGGGTCAGGGTCTTTATCTTCTGGAAAAACAAAACAACAAAAAAGAACCGGGGGGTTAGGGTTAGGGGTTTCATGTGACATCACTTCCAAACGGTCGACAGCCGCACACTGGAGTCTGTGGTCATTGAGGCTTTGCATCCAGCTGATCCTCCAGGGGGCGCCAGAGATCCATTCAGGGACAGAAACCCATGATCAGAGACAAAACTCTCCTTTCCACTGGTCACATTCAATCATTCATTCACACATTCATGGTGGTACGATCGGCCACTACTGTAGCCATAGCTGCCCTGGGGCAGACTACGGAGGCTGCCAACTGAAGCCGGCCCCTCTAACCACCACCTTACATTCACACCCATTCACACCCATTCAGAACCATGTGGGAGAAAAGTCTTGCCTCCTGACTTCTGGTGTCTCTCATCCCTGACCCTCACCCTTTAGCCTCAGAGGCAGCGTGCATTAGCTATTAGCCGTCAGCCTCATGACCATTAGCTGTTAGCCGTTAGCTGTTTGCCGTCAGCTGTTTTTATCCAGTGGCTGTGACTCTGATGTCTCTGTTTATGGAACAGAGATGAGTCCTGGTCTGCAGTTCTTCTTTGATGTCTTCATCTTCATCGTCATGCAGACGAGAGTTCATGGCCCCCAGTATCTTCATCCTGTGGTTTAAGGCTTCCAAGCCCATGTTGGCGTCGTTCAGAGCCTCCAGGATCCTGCTCTGACTCTCTGCCTGCCTCCGAAGGTTCCTCTCTTTACAGAGAAGGTTCTCCTCCATTTCTGTAAATGACAACGTTTTTCAGGACACAGTTCTCTCTAAACTCCTCCACCGCTTTCTGGGATGTGAGCAGTTGTTCTTCCAGTTCATAAATACCTTTCCTCAGGTGCAGGTCCTGGTCTGCCGGTCCTGGTCCTGGATCCTGGTCTGCAGCTCTTGGATGTATTGCGCATCTGGAACACAAGTGTTCATGACTTGTGTGTTCTTGTTGTGACTTGTGTGTTCTTGTTGTGACTTCTGTGTTCTTGTTGTGACTTGTGTGTTCTTGTTCTGACTTGTGTGTTCTTGTTGTGACTTGTGTGTTCTTGTTATGACTTGTGTGTTCTTGTTATGACTGAACTTCTTTGTACAAACCTCTGATGGTGGAGTCCTTCAGCCTCCTCTCCTCCTCCAAAGCCGTCATAGCCCCATTGTAGAGACTCCACCACAATATTGGAGTACTTCTGGTTCTTGTCCGCAAATCGGAGAAACGCCTCCTTCAGGGCACAGGTGTCCTCCTTCAGAGAGGACACCATGTTGAAATAGTTCTGGTTCAGGTCCACAGACCGGACACAGGCCTCCTTCAGGGCCCGGGCCTCCTCTCTTTGTGCCTGTAGCTCTGCTGTGGTGTCGACGGTGCTGGAGACTTTCTTTCTCCCTTTGGGTTGTGTAGCGCTCGTTTCTGAACTTGAAAGTGGAACGCAGGAGGCCGGTCACCAGAGCAGACTTCTGGGTCTTCAGACGCCTCACTTCCTCCTTCAGTTCTTGAGTCCCTTGGAGGTGAGCCGTGAGCAGGTGGTTCCTCTCCTCCTCCAGTCTCTTGACCTCCGCAGACAAGCCTGGTTTGATTCTTCAGTGAGAACCATTTTGTCCACCAGAGCTTTGTGTCGCTGCTGCTTCTTTGAAAAGTTTTTTGAAAAGCACCACATTTCGTATCAAATTTGGATCAAATATTTTCTTCGTTTCTGACTCTTTTTGGCCCTCTTTGTGTTGTGCTTGGGGCCTCGGTCCTCTCCCCGCTGTAAAGTTTAAACTCTGAGGATTACATCACCTGGATACAGACTTTGGAATTGTGTCGTCAGTTCCATTATGGAATAGAAATTCCATTAGAACTTGCATTCATCGCCGCGGCAACACAACCATAGGCTCTGTCTCTGTTTACAGTCAAAACATAGATACTTTATAGATATTTTATAGATACTTTATAAATACTTTATAGATAGATTCTTTATTGATCTTTGTAGGAGAAATACATGTATCTATACTGTGTGTATTATACTGGTGCAACTGCACAGAGACGCTGTGAAATTATTCCGACGATACCAAAAGGACTTCTCCTTCTGTGAGACCCTCGGGGAGTCTCCTCATTAAAGGAGTTTGTACCGTGAGCAGTTCTGAGGCGACTGGACCCTCTCTGCCCCAACACGCTTCTCTGCACTTTCTTTTACTCAGTGATTGATCTGAGATCAAGTCCACACACGGGGAAAGTCCAGAGACATAAGGATGACCTCATTCAGGAAGTACATGTACATATATGGGCAGGGAAGGAAGCCCATATTTAGTCATAGCAGGAAGGAAGTACATATTTGGTCACTCCATGGTATGAACCTTCACCCAGTTAGATGACCTTCGACCCAGTTTTAGCATAATGTCACATTAATCACATCAAATGTAATTAAATCACAGACTGACAGTAACATCCATCCATCCATTTTCTACCCTTTAATCCATTTCTGGGTCAGGGGGGTGGCAATCAGAGATGCCACCCAAGTCTCATAGCACCAGCCCCTCACTGACCCTCTGCAGGTGGTGAGTCCACAGGAGGACGGCTGCTCTCTGAGTGTGAGCATAGCCTTGATCTTTCAGTGGGGGCTTTTGGGCAAAGTGGGGTTAAGTGTCTTGCCCACGGACACAACGACAGCAGTCATCAGTGGGAGTCGGTGGAGAAGGTGTAGAGGTGGGAATTGAACCCACGACCTTCAGGCCTTAAGGCCAATGCTCTACCAACTGAGCTACTGTCGCCCTGACAGTAACAATCATTGTTTAATGCATTTTTCTTATGTTTCACATATAATTATTAAATGTTATTTTGTGTTACATCCTCCTTTTGAAACGTATGACGCTTTTCCACAGTATCAGTACGGTACAGTACGGTACGCTTCGACGCTGTTATTTTGCGTTTCCACTAGAGGATGGTATGGGGAATTTGCGTGCTTTTCCGTACTGCTTCAGCCGTGGTTCCATCTCCGTAGTACCGGTACCATGACGTCACGTCGGCCGTCTGCCTTACACTGATTGGTCAACGAGTGTCGTCACTGGAAGCGACATCTGACCCTTTCTGCTTCGGCTACATTACGTCCTCCTCACTCCAGAGAAATGGAATCGCACAGAAAGCCCCAAAAGTCCTGGTCCTGGTCGGTGGACGAGGTCCACACGTTCCTCTCTTCAGGCCAAAAGAAAGACTTCAAAGGCAGCTCGAGGCTCAACACAGTTTTCAGGGAAATCACCCAGCTCTGGATTTGAGACCAGGGAGAGACCAGGGAGAGACCAGGGAGAGACCAGGGAGAGACCAGAGAGAGACCAGAGAGAGACCAGGGCAAGACCAGAGAGAGACCAGGGACTTTATATCCTTAAGGGCAGACTGTAATAGGTGGGTTTTGAAAAGTGATTTAAAGTTCTGTGGTGAGTGGGAGTTCCTGATTGGTTGTGGCAGTGAGTGCCAGCGAGTGGGGGGAGCTGCGCCGGCGAAGGCTCTGAGACTCTGAGGCGAGTGAGGAGATGGCGAGGGGGACGGTGATGATGGGACTTGAACTTTTTCCTTGTGGTGTAGGGCAATCATGAGTGCCTAAGAAACAAAATGTATTACTATTATTATTTTGTGGGCGAAGTGTTTTGCCACAGGACACAGTTTGGCACTTTGCAGCCGCACCGGGGGTTCCTAGAGGACTCCCATCGAAGTACTAACCTGGCCCTACACTGCTTAGCTTCAGAGGTCTGACTGAATCTGGCTCTCACACACAGGTGGCAATCAGCAGCAGCAGTAGTAGCAGTAGTAGTAGTTGTAGTAGTAGTAGTGGTAGTACATAGTGACTGGTGTTTCTCAGCAAGAATTGTCCTGGGTTCCAATCCCAGTCGAAGCAAGGTCTTTCTGAGTGGAGTTTGCATGTTCTCTCCGTGCCTGCACAAGTTTCCTCCAAGTGCTCCGGTCTCCCCTACCACAAAAAATATGTACATTAAGTAAAATCCTCCAGCTCCGGTCCTGATTAAACCGAGCAACAACAACCCGGGGGCTGTAACTACGGCAACCACTGCTCCTGACAGTCGCCCAGAGGCATCAGGATGGGTCAAATGCAGATGATAAATACAACGATAAATAAAATGCGCCTTCACTTAAAACATTTTATTCACGGAGTCTTGCAATGTGTCTTTGAACTGTAAATGGCAAACAACTGAATCTGAATGTCACTGTGAAATTAGATGGCTCATGAAGAAGTGAGTCAGACAATAGTTACTGTAAGTGGTTGCCATGGCAGCGGCATAACGGTGCAGATAGGACATGATGATTATCCCCGAGGTGAAGGGTTCCTGCCGCTGCTGTGTGGAGCTCCTCTTTTTAACAACAAAACACAAGAGGAAACATGTTCGATATCTGCTACGTACAAGTATTTATATTTAATAAGTTGTTTACTTTTGAATGCGCTGGAAACGGCCGCAAGTCCATATTTCAACCCTGATGATATTGCAGCTATGTTGGAAGATGTAGGTTTGTGTGTGTCACTGCTGTCAGACTGTACAATGAACAAGTCACTTTCAGTCACTTGCACTTGGACTGAAAAAATAAAGAAATTATAATACCCTGCACTAATATTGCCACTGCTTCTTAATTGCCACTTTTATTGTACATAATATATCCTGAATTTAACACGTTTGCACACTTCTTTCTTTGCGCAATTTTTTTTTTCTTCTTGAGTGATTCTATCCGAGCCAGATGTGACATGTACATTTCTCTTGTGTGAGATCAATAAAGTCTAGCTTATGTTATCTTATATATTTATTCACATGCATTTATACTGTATGTAAGTATTTTTATGATATGTGTGTGTGTATATTTGTGTACATATGTATTTTTGTTTATGGCATTAGTCACGTGACAGCTTTTGCTTTGGGAATAATGTCTGATGAAGGGCCTCAGCCTGAATCGTTTCTTCTTCGTGGTCTGTGAATAAAAGGCACTTGGGAGAAAAAAAACCTACATTGTGGTCGGTAAAAACACACAGAGTTTTACACAGATCAAGACCAGAGCAGAGAGGATGGTCCAAAACAAACAGATCCAGCACAAATCTACTGGTTTGCCCAAACAGAACGAGTCACTGAACAAATCAAAGCACAACAGCCCTGGGAGTCACTATTGGATGGTTTTGTCAGACTGTACAATGGGTCACTAATGACCTGCACTGTATATCCTGCACAAAAGAGACTATATTTTTAACCTTTTCACATGTTTTCACACTTCCTGTATTTTTGCACAACCTGAGAGATACTATATGTGCCAAATGTGACATATACATGTAAATGTCTCCATTGTGAGATCAATAACGTTCTCCCCATAAACTCCTCTCGTGTTTCTCTGCAGCCGAATCTCGGGTGCATCCAGTTTCTAAAATCAATCTTCTTACCCTTCACCTCTCTTTCTTATCATTCCTGTCGTCATTGCCAAACCTGTTGCTGCCGAACAAGAAAGGGGCTTTCTGATGGAATTGGATGTAGCCGAATTCTGCGCTCAAATGAGCCCCCTACTCTGAGGCCGGCCTCGGTGACAATACGCTTTGTGTTGCCCTGTGCAGGAAAAGCGCCCTATAAATAAAGATTGATTGATTGATTGAATACAACCCGTGGTTGAGCGCGATTAAGACCCTGTAGACATGTAGATTGTAAAGGAAATATGTTTGACATCAGCCAATAATTGTGGAGAGGTTTTCTCATCCTCCCTTCTCTCATGACAACACGAGTCCTATCATTAAGTTAAAAAAAAGTTCATTGTGCGACTTGAGTAACGGGGTGTCCGCAATGATAACGTCATTATAGTTACAGTCAAAGTAATTAGTTAGATTACTCGTTACACACTCATCATTTCAACTTGAACTGACTGTTACTTTCTCAATCTCTACCTCTGGGGACATTTGAGCTCCTATTTTCCATCTTATTCTTGTCAAATAATCACTTCTGTATCCTTCAGCCAACTCTGACTCACTCTTGAACTCACACATAAAAAGACCAATGGGCAGGATTATGCATTTTATCCAAACATATTTATTCCGATGGTGGAAAGCATCTAATATTGGACTTCCTGAAGGCATAAGCGTTGCATAAGAAGTGTCCTTAAAATCAGGACGTATCAGATGTGTTTATTTTAACCGGTTCGCTGGAGACCGACGCAGATCTCTGGATTAATTCTGTTATGTAGAAGATGTGGCTCATTAGTTCTTGGAATCTGAAATATGAGTCTAATGAAGCTACCCTCTCCTGATTGGCTAGTTTTAATTATTCAAAACAATGCCCAGAGCTTTCCTTATCAGGGATTTGGGAAAATTCAGATGTAAATTCAATATACGCTTATCCAAGAGCAAGAGAGAGTGATTATTAAATACATAGTGGGGATTATGAATAATAAATGAGAGTCTTATCAGTAAAAAGAAACAAAACAAATGCATTTCTAACTCATATCTCACAGTCTGTGCCGAGGCATAAGTTTGTCAACATGGTGTGTCCGATGATGAGTCTTCCAAAAGTTCTGCATTAGGCCATGACACAGACATTAATCACAGGTCCAGTTTTGGTTCATTCCACACAGACCTAAAGTCCTTCCATCCATTTTCTTCCGCTTTATACGTTGCCAGGTTGCAGGGACAGATGGGCAACACTGTGACTGCGTGGTTAGCACTCTCGATTCTCCGTAATGAGGTCCTGGGTTCAAAGCCCAGTTGGAATAGGGTCTTTCTGAATGTAGTTTGAATGTTTTCCCTGCGTCTGTGTAGGTTTCCTCCAGGTTCTCCGGTTTCCACTACCGCTAAAAACATGTACAATAGATCTTGCATGTGCCTCTTGTAGGCGACTACTCTCCCGTGTGGAGTGATTATTGCCTGATCCGCTTGTTTCGGATCAATGAATCCTCTCTGCTCCGGTCTGGACCAGTGAAAAACCATGAACACTGAACCGAAAAAACATCTCAGGTAGAAAAAAATCAAGAAAGATGACAAGCTACTTATGGTTTGCTGCCGTTTCTAGCCCATTCGCTAACTCCACTTAAGTCCATTTTGAGTTTTGCTCCACTTTATTTGGTCCAAAACCCCGAAACTTCCCTCCATCCATAGTCAGCTCACGGAGGCAGCGGTCTGACCAGTGATGTCTAGTCGTAAAACAGTGAATCAAAGTTACAACCCTCCACATTATCATTCCTGTAAAAAAGTTATTTTTCCTCGGCGAGCGCAGACCAGCGCCTCTGCAACATATAAATGCAGCCGTAGAAAGAAAAAGGTGTTTGTAGCGGACTGTAAATCATGCTCTGATGCCCTGTGCTCTGGGTTAACAACAGCCTGATAACAGCAGCAGAGGCCGTTTATCAGCAGCGGGAGCAGCAGGGGCCTCAGATAGAGAGGTGTGAGGGAGATTTAGAGCCACCGTACGGACCCCCGGCACAAGAGGAGAGCAGCTGTGGCAGTGGGGCAGCTGCCGCACGATGACGTTGCTTTATCTCCTGAACAGAATGTGCTCCATTGTAAACGCCGGTCTGCTCTATTTCACGGTGACAGCCAGGTGCGGCCACAGAAACGTCTGCTACCTGTTTTCTAGTCCAGCCTCTGTTTTTATAGTACCACCATTAACATGTTTTTCCACTTCACCAGAGGCTTGCCCAAGGACACAAGGGCAGTGTGACCGTGTGTGTGGGTAAAGTAGTGCACCATAGAGTGGAAATATGGGGTAGTAATTTTAACAGTGTCCTCAAACATTTGGTAGATCACTTTTTGAGTCACTATATCTACTTGAAGCTTGGAATTGAAAGATACCTCTATCACGTATTATTACATTTGGGAAAAGTCTACTTATCAAAAAAGAGAAAAAAATGACCTTCATTTGAGCACATTCTGACTTAACTGTTGCTTTATTTTCTCATTCCAAGGGAAACGCTTGGGAAACTAGCTTTGTCCCAATCGGCAAATCTTGTTTTAAGGCAGTCAAAAGATTCATTTTGCTAAAATTGAGCAACTTTTGACTTATTTTTTATATTTTTGTGCAGTGTAATATAGCAGCTGTCTTTAAAACCGTTTGGAGCAGGGGTACGCAAACTAATGTATCATCCCTGACCCTTTATCAATGAATAAAAATGTTTGAAATAACTTTGCACCTGCACAGAACTTGATCCCAGAATAAATGTACGTGTGGATGTGATGCTGGGGGATTAGTGTCTTTTGCACCAATCAACTAGCCTGGTCGTACCACACCATAGTAAAAATTACATTTCATACTAAGGTCTGGAGGCGCTCCATTGACTCTGTGAACAGGTGGGAGGGGCTAACTCCTTTTGTAGGTTGAAACGATTGGATCTGAGTTTACCGTGACGTATGTAGTGTGCCCAAGTGAGTCGTTAGCATTTAGCCTAGCTGTAGCAATCTCCTTCGCTGCTAACGGAGCCCGTGGGGAGTAGCGGCAAAAAAATGTTCTAGCGATAACATTTGCTAAACATTCCTCTTGCTCCAGCTTCAATTTCTTGATAGAACCAGACCGGATTACTTTACTATCGCATTTTTCGCCATTTCCAAACTACGACCTTCCCGTTCTACGCAAACCCTTGACATCACCCACAACTAAATACAACACCCTCCTTCCCGCGCTCTCTGATTGGTCTCTGATTGGACCAATCGGTCTGATTGGTCGGTAATCGCTAACCCAGGGACCAGACCCAGACGTTACATGCAGTGAAATGATGATTGGCTGAGAACGACTCAATTAAATTAAATTAAATTAAATTCAAGATAAGATAAGATAGACTTTAATGATCTCACACTGGAGAAATGTACATGTTACATTTGGCACAGATAGAATCACTCAAAAGACAGAAGTGCGCAACATGTTAAAGGTTAAAAATATCGTCTGTGCAGGATACAATTACGTACAATAATAAAAGAAGTAATAAAAACAATAAATCAATTCAATTCATTCTTGTATAGCGCTAAATAACAACAGTAGTTATCTCAGAGGAAATTACAAAACGGTTGAATTTGGCAACACAGATCAGAGAATCAAAAAGTTCAAACACAATAAATGAAATGAAAAAAAAAACAGAGACCAATGTCCATAAATATTAATTAAGTCCATAAATCTTGTTGAACGTTGACCTTCCAGTATCGGCAAAGAACGACTCACAAAAAAAAACAGTGTGATAAAAGATTGAATCCTCAGGGAGTCACACATTACACACATTTTCATTACTGCATCCGGTCTGGACTGTACATGAGCGGTGAAAAGGACTAGAACAGAACCAAACCAGGTCTCTATAATTTGTTCAAGTGTTGCAGAAGTCTGACACGACACCTCAGGGATCACCGCACACACACATGTCGCCGCTGTCTCCTGTCTCTTCTGTGGCAGTCTCTTTTTCTTCGCACAAAATCTTCTTCCATTGGTCTATTCTTTCTCTATGCCCCTCTTTCTTTCACCTCCTTGACTCGGTCCTCCCTTTTCTCTCCAATCAACAGGAGCAGAGATAACCCATGGCCATGAGTCAGCCACACACCTCAAGACTGACACTGGTGAAACGAGCTGGGCCTATTCTCACACACACACACGCACACACACACGCACACACACACACACTTCCATCACGTCCAATTTCCGTCCCGCTCACAGATAGCATACAGAGACAGACCTTTGCGAGACGCACAAAGACGCCCTGTTCATTTCAGATTACATCTCTTCATGCGGCTATCGAGGTTCTGCCGCTGGATATGAGGATGTTCGGCTGTGGGTCTTTGGTCGGAGCGATCCCAGCGCTGGGACCGGAGTCACAGGAGATAGCCAGATGCAGAATGAAGTCTGTCGAGGTCAATGTGCTCGAATAAATCCCCGGACGAAGAAGGACCTTTCAGTCACAGGCAAAAAGATAGTGGTGTTCTTGTCTGTGTTGTCGGCTTCAGTTTGCTGATAGAGTCCATGCTGGTTCAAGCCCGTCCTGTTTTGCAGATAATAATGAAAACCAAACTGTCAGCAGCAGTCCGAACTTACTCTGAAAAGCTACAGCACAACCATAGACTGTATTTAACGGAAAAAGTCACGGCTATCTCCACCGTTCAAACTAATGTGGCACCACTTTTGCCTTCTGTGGGCGTTTTCGAAATGGCTGCGGGTCAGGAAAATGTGAAAAAACACATTTGCGCATTTGCTGCACTAGCCCCATTCATTTAACAAGTGCATTCAAAAGTCCACAGCGGCTAAACTAGACTGGTCCAAAAAAAATTTCCCTCAACATCGACAGCATCTGGAACCAATGGGCCAAGAGACCAATGGGCCAAGAGCGACTTTTCGACCATCCGGTAAAGACGTTTCGAAAGGAAAGAAGACGCCATACAAAAGCATTGGGTAATTCTCTTTCCGGGTACACCCCCACCAAAGTACATCTGTGACATGTTAGTGCCATATGAGCATGAACGCCTTTGATAAAACCATTTCACAAAACTACCGTTCATGAAGAAGTCATATTGAAATCAATGATGAGACTTTTTGTGACATAGACTTTACAAATGCCTTTGTTTTGGTTTTGGAACACAAACAAAACATACAAAGAATTTAATACAAAAATGTTAAGGTCTTTTTCTCCCCAAAATGAGAACAATTATGAGAAACCATGTGTAGAATAGCAATAACTTAAGAATCTCTTAATCTTAATCTTTATTGTATATCAGATCACGGGTCCTGATCTGAACGAAGATATCTGATTTATCAACTGGTCATTCCTCAACACACCATGTTTAAACCAATTCAAATGTTTCTATAACTGTGTGACTCTCAAATCACCTCCTGTCTGGACTCTAACCCAACAAAAAAAACTTGCCTTTTCGATTTGAGCTGGATGCCATCGCTAAAAAGCCAAAAAGGCGGCGTAATTGTCAAGTGTCGGGCAAAGACTGAGGCTATGTGGGTGAAGTGTCTTGCCCAAAGGACTCACAGATGCAATGAATGGAGCTGGACTAGAACCTCTAACCTGTTTCTGTTTTTGTGCGCCTCACTGAGCCGCTCATATCATGTGCGAATCCCGCGAAGCCGAAACGAAGGCTTGTTATTTCCTGTTTGTGGTGCGGTCTCTCTCACAGCTCTAGGTATCTCTGCTGTCGGACACTGCGGCTTTATTAGATCTGATTCTATCTGTGTGATCCGAGGCCCAGGTGACAGAGAGGAGGAGGGGGGAGGAAGAGGAGGAAGGGGAGGTAATACTGATGAAGGTCTTGTAAACACACAGGATCAGGTAAAAACGCCTGCAGCCACTGTCCAGAGCCAGAGCATGAATATCGCAATTTTGTTTTATTAATTTCACGTGGCAAAATGAAAAGATTAAAAAAACTAGCAAACTAAAAAAACACACACAGACGTCAACACATCACCCCAGTCGGTTTTTTTCGGGCAGATCCCTAAAGTCCTCACCTCGGCTCCACCTGGAAGAACCGAGGATCAGGTCCTAAGACTGGGGAGACCGGTCCATCTCAGTTCTGGACCCAGACTCTAGAAAAAAGCTCCCTCCTTATGGGCGAGTACAATGGCTTTTAACTCTGGCTTTTAACTCTGGCTTTTAACTCTGGCTTTTAACTCTGGCTTTTAACTCTGGCTTTTAACACTGGCTTTTAACTCTGGCTTTTAACTCTGGCTTTTAACTCTGGCTTTTAACAATCAATCAATCAATCAATCAATCTTTATTTATAGGGCGCTTTTCCTGCACAGGGCAACACAAAGCGCCTCACAGTCCACACCACACAATGCACAAATCATCACCATTAAAATACAATTAAAAACACATATGTAATTAAAAAGCATTAAAATCACATAAGTAATTTAAAAACATAAGAATCACACAAGTAATTAAAAACAATAAAATAGTTAAAAACACAAAAAGTTACAACAATAAATAACAAGGTGTGTTAAAAAGATAAAATTCTCTAGTTGTATGCACAGGAAAAAAGAAAAGTCTTTAACATGGATTTGAACATTGACAGAGAGGCAGCCAGTCTCACATCCTCAGGAAGACTGTTCCAGACTTTAGCTGCATAAATCTGAAAAGCAGCTTCCCCCTGTCTAGTCCTGACTCTGGGCACTAACAGGAGTCCCGACCCTGCGCTCCTCAGAGTCCGGGCTGGTTCACATGGGACTAGCATATCATGGATGTACATGGTGCAAGGCCATGGAGAGACTTGTACACCAGGAGAGCTGCTTTAAAGTCTATCCTCTGGGCCACGGGAAGCCAGTGCAGAGAACTGAGGACCGGACTAATGTGGTCGTACTTCCTGGTTCTAGTCAGGACTCGGGCTGCAGCATTTTGAATGTACTGCAGCTGTTTTACTGCATGTTTGGAGATACCTGTGAGCAGGCCATTGCAGTAATCCAGCCTACTGGAAACAAAAGAATGGATAAGAATCTCCAAGTCTGCCCTGGACACAATATTTTTAATTTTGGCAATATTTTTCAGATGATAAAAAGCTGCTGATGTTACCGATCCAATGTGGCTATTGAAGTTTAAGTCAGAGTCCATTATTACTCCCAGATTTCTGACCTTATTTCAAGGCCTTAGGGAGAGAGACTGAAGGTGACAAATGACGGTCTCTCTTTGTTTCTCGGGACCAAAGACAATCATTTCGGTTTTGTCCGCATTTAGCTGGAGAAAATTGCATTGCATCCACTCACTGATCCGCTGGATACAGCGAAGGAGTGAGTCCACTGGTCCATGTTCTCCTGCAGTCAGTGAGACATAGATCTGAGTGTCATCAGCGTAATTGTGGTAGGACACTTTCATACTTTGAATTAACTGACCTAATGGCAGCATGTAAATATTGAACAGGAGAGGTCCCAGAATCGACCCCTGTGGCACTCCGCAGGTCAGGGCCATATTATCTGAGACATAGTCTCCAATCTCCACACAATACTTCCTTTCTTCTAGATAGGACCTAAACCAGCTTAGGGCAGTACCAGCAACACCAACCCAGTCCTCCAGTCTCTGCATGAGAATCTCATGGTCAACGGTGTCGAAAGCGGCACTCAGATCTAACATGACTAAAACAGAGACTTTTCCTGCACCAGTGTTAAGCCGAATATTATTTGTTACCTTGACTAGAGCGGTCTCAGTACTGTGGTGTGGTCTAAAGCCAGACTGAAACATGTCAAATGAGTCATTAGATATTAAAAATTCAGTAAGTTGTTGGTAGGCAACTTTTTCAAGAATTTTTCCACTGGCTTTTAACTCTGGCTTTTAACTGGCTTTTAACTCTGGCTTTTAACTCTGGATTTTAACACTGGCTTTTAACTCTGGCTTTTTATACACTGGCTTTTAACTCTGGCTTTTAACACTGGATAGGTATAGGGAGGTGTGGATGGACATAGCGAGGTATAGATATGTGTAGGGAGGTATGGATAGGTATATAGAGAGGTATGGATAGGTATAGAGCGGTATGGATAGGTATAGATAGGTATAGGGAGGTATAGATAGGTATAGGGAGGTATAGATAGGTATAGGGAGGTATAGATACACAGCAAAAACGGCTGAGTAAAATTTCCAGAGTCATTATTTTTTTCCTCCAATTGAGTTCTTTTTAAACATTTTAGAGTAAAATAACCTCTAGCGGCCTCTAGAGTGCGAGTGATTTTTCAGAGATGATCAGAATCTCCTCGATTGGAGTAAATGAGGCCCCGCCCTATGTCCCGCCCCCAAAACTCAGGTCTTGAGTTTCTGAACCGCCGCCATGACAGTTTCTCGCTGGACACTAGCAGACGGAGTGTGGAAACCATGGATGTACTCATTTCTTTCTACGTCATGGATAGTCAAAAGGATACAAGGTGAGTCTAAATGCGTATTTAAAGTTTGTCACTTTTTTCAGTTTCATTTAGTCCATGCTGTTATCGCGGTGTACATTTGGAACACAGTTGTGTCTTGTGAAAGCTGCTAGCTTAGTGCTGTTACAAGTTACAAATACTGATATAGTGTTACATCTTCTGGCAATCATATGTGGTTGGAGTTGTACAGAGTTTATTAGTAATGGATTAATATACATTCAAAATGTAGAATTTGTTAAACTTATGTTAATTAGTTAATCAAATTTTGCGTCACTGCAACACATTCTTTGAGCTATTTTTTAGTGTGTGTATGTGTTACTTTATTCAAATCAATCTGTATACACTGAATACATTCTATTGTAAAACGCCTGTTGTGCTCCGGTGACGTAGACAGACGACCGCGTGTATTACTTTGGTGCTTTAGCATGGTTTCTCATGGGTTAGAATGGGCAAGTATTTGACACTGGGAATGAGCTATGGTGGCACGTTAGCATTGTTACGGACAGCGCAGCACATGGAGGTGACTCTAACTTGAGTAGTTTTGTTGTTAGCATTGTTGTTAGCATTGTTGTTAGCATTGTTACAGACAGCGTAGTTGACTTTGGATGCAGTTTTAGCTATGTTTGCCACATAAACACTATTACTGTTACAACAGTGACCACATGTGTGTACTAAAATTGTTTTATATGTCTCCTTAGATGAATGCTGAAGTGATGTGCAGCGATCCACAGAAGTACATCTGCTATGAAGGGCAGCTTTGTTTTGCGTTATTCTTAAAATGTAGTAAGTGGGAAATATGTAATTATCTTTAGCTTCAGGGGCATTATAAAGTAAAATGCTTTGATAATATTACATTGTACTCCACTCTGAAATGCCTTGATACTTTTAAACAATCATAAACATACATTTGTTTTTGCAGTTGCAAAATAAATGGATATTCCAACTTTCAAAGTCTATGATGAGACGAAGACTGAGGTTGATGAAGTATTTGAATTTCTCCTCAAGAAGGAGCGTTTGGGTGTGCTAGATGTTTGTTCACCAAAGGGTGTGTGTTTTTTAAATAATTAATTAATTTAATGCTGTATTTTCATATATTAAGGTTTTTATTTTGACAACTATGACTTTATGTTGCAGATGGGTTGAGCTCCCCAAAGTGGAGATACCGAGGTTGACTCTGAGGACGCGATCATAGCAGTTTAGACCTGCTTCAGTCAATAGAACTGAGGAGGTTCGTCTCTCACATGTGAGCTTGATGGTTATATATATATGCACCACACTATGTAGCTGATTAAGTTATTTTATCGTTACCATTGTAAACACTTTGTTTTATGTTTCCAGATTGAGAGCATCCCAAAGAACAAACCAGGAGGAGATGGAATCTTAAGCGATTATGCTCAAAAGCCTTACAGACAGCAGGAGACGTGATATGGTCAACATTTTGGTTGCGCATATGACAAATGAACATGGTAAAACATTGCTAATTTTGAAAGTTTCACTGTTTCATAACTAAAATATAACCTATTATTTTAAAGAAGTCCTTCAAGGCGTGTAAAAGACGAATATGCCAGAGGAATTATTGCCTTGTTATCTCTGTTTGGCAGATCCAAAGAGCTAACTTGGTATGATACTTAACTCCTCTGAACATTTGTATCCGAGTCATTCACAGGCATGTTGTCAAACTATGTTTTTATTTCAGGAGCACTATTACCGTTTTTCTGGCTGTGTCCTATGGTCCCAAAAGGACACCATTACCAAAAGGTTAGTTAAAGACTGTTGAGTTATTCTGTTGGAAAAGGTAAATTATTTGTATGTTTATTTGTCTATAGGTGGTCCGCATGCTAACTGAGATACCTACAAGAGGAAGATTGATCTGTGCTGGCAGAAAGTCTATTCTGTGAAGCAATTGCTCTCATGAAGCACACAATGGATGAAGCCATAGTCAAAGAGAAGATGAAGCAGACATGTCACTATCGTCAAAATATGGTCCTGAAAAATCTCTCGGTCTTCACAATGTTTTCAAGATTTCTGGATATATCAGGACTGGTAAGTCACCTTAAATATTGATATTGTTAATGTTGTATCAACATTTCATTATGTCTTTCGTTATAAAACAGATAGAGCAGGACTTCAGACTTACAGTATGCTTGATGATGCTACTTCAACAAAATTAGCCAATTGTCTGCAATCAAGAATTAAAGCTGAGTCCACCTCTAAAGTTGAAGGTGAGTTTTTTTATATTGGTGAAAATGGATTGTGTCACAAACACAGTAGATGACTTCCGTTTGATCTTTTTCAGGCTGGGGCAATGACATGTCTTCTTCTTCTACTTCACCAGACATGTCTGTGACCATCTCACTGTTTCTCAAGGTAAGGTCACCTCGCTTTTTCTAACTTTTTGGAAGGGCTTCATTATTAACGTATGCTTGTTAATTTTCTAGACTGGGACCAGCATTCAAGATCATCTGCACGGAATCACAGAAAGGCATCAACCCTAATATTTGGATTTCTGTGTCAACAGTGTGCATGTTCACAAATGGAATGAGAATTTTCTATTGAGCAAGTATTTGGTGCCAAATAAAAGGGTATGTGAAAAAATGTTTGATCTTTTTGTCATATTTCACATTTTTAGGAGCTTGTGGAGAAACTATCACTCAAAATTGAGTTCTTTTTAGGGAGTAAATTACTATGGAGTAAATATATAGTTCCTCAAGTAAGAGTACAAAATAGAGTGAGAGTCAATTGAAATTTACTCTATATAGAGTGAAATGTACTATTAAACAATTACTCAGAATTGAGGAATGTTAACTCTTTTTAGGGAGTAAAATACCATGGAGTAAATTTATAGTTCCTCTCGCAAGAGTAAAACTAGAGTAAGAGTCAATTTAAATGTTCTCTGCAGAGAGTGAATTTTACTATTAAAGAGTAGAATTTTTACTCTAAATTGAAGAGAAATTACTCCGATTAAACGACTCTATCAAAAGAGTTAATTTGACTCTTTTTAGAGAGGGACCAAATGTTATCAAAAATGGAGTTAAATTTTCCTCAATTTGAGTAAATTTTACTCTAGCGATTTTACTGTGTAGGTATAGGGTGGTATAGATAGGTATAGGGAGGTATAGATAGGTATAGGGAGGTATAGATAGGTATAGGGAGGTATAGATAGGTATAGGGTGGTATAGATAGGTATAGGGAGGTATAGATAGGTATAGATAGGTATAGATAGGTATAGGGAGGTATAGATAGGTATAGGGAGGTATAGATAGGTATAGGGAGGTATAGATAGGTATAGAGCGGTATAGATAGGCATAGGGAGGTATAAATAGGTATAGGGAGGTATAGATAGGTATAGAGCGGTATGGATAGGTATGTCCTCATTGTACTGTCTGCTTTGTTTTTGGTCTTTAAAGGACTCATACTTTTTGTTTTCCAACCTTAAACGTCACAACACTTCGGCTCAGACACGTCCACTGTCGCTTCTGTCAAAACTTACCCTTTCCCGCATCAGGACGTGACAAATCCCCAGACTGTGACGTCAAGGTTAAACCGTTCCATTCCTTTTAAACCAAACATAGGACTTCTAAATTGGATTTGCCTCATAACTGTGTGCCTCCATGTTGGATTCAGAGCTGATTGTAATGACTATTGGGGAGTTGGCTGGATTAGCCAGATCTGTTCAACATTATTATTTGACATTTTTCTGTGTTAGAGGCGGGTGCTTTGTGCACTGGGTGGATGGATGTATGGATCATGTTTTATTTAGAGAGTGTGTGTGTGTGTGTGTCTGCATGTGTCTGTGTACTTATTTTTGTGTATGTATACATGTGCATGTCTGTGTGTGTGTCTGCGTGTGTTTGTACATATGTACAGTGTTTGTTTGTTATTTTTGTGTGTGTGTGTACATATGCATGTCTGTGTGTGTGTGTGTGTAAGTAAGTAAGTAGTAAGTAATCTTTATTTATATACCGCCTTTCACAGACCAGAGTCACAAAGCGGTTTACAATTGTTATTATTTTTGGGCACTTGTCTCTCACTCCACACAGAGATGGGAGCGGGGTCGCCGAACAGGAGGCACATGCCAGACCTATTGTGCATGTTTTTAGTGATAGGGGAAACCGGAGCACCCGGAGTAAACGTACGCAGACACGGGGAGAACATGCAAACTCCACTCAGAAAGGCCCTGGTCTGACCGGGATTCGAACCCAGGACCTTCTTGCTGAGAGGCGAGAGTGCTATCCACTCAGCCACAGTGCCGCCCTAAGTGTGTGTGTGCGTGTGTGTGTGTACATATGCATGTTTGTGTGTGTGTGCGTGTGTACATATGCATGCGTGTGTGTGTGCGTGTGTGTACATAGGCATGTCTGTGTGTGTGTGTGTGCGTGTGTGTGTGTACATATGCATGTCTGTGTGTGTGTGCGCGTGTGTGTGTACATATGCATGTCTGTGTGTGTGTGTGTGTGTGCGTGTGTGTGTGTACATATGCATGTCTGTCTGTGTGTGTCTGTGAGTGTGTGTTGAATGAGTAAGAGGGGTTGAAGCCAAATTTGCCTTTCTGTTCAAGGTTCATTTCGGTTAATTTTGTATGTTTAAGTATGTTTAATTTTTCCTCACGCTTTAAATACAATCGTAACTTTTGAGGTTTCGTGGAAATGTAAGACGCAATATAAATAAAATGTATTATTCTTACTAACATTATTATTCTTCTTTCTACTTCTACAGCATTATTCTGCTATAAGTCGCACCGTGGTTTGTGCTTGTGCCTCACGGTTTCGATTCCACCCCTTTCTGTGTGGAGTTTGCATGTTCTCCCCGCGTCGGCTCCGGTTTCCCCCAGGTGCTCCGTTTTCCCCTACCACAAAAAAACACACCCACATACCTCCCATCTCTCTCTCTGTGTGTGGAGAGAGAGACAAATGACCACAGCAATTGCAAAGCGCTTTGTCACTCTGTATAAATAAAGATTACTTATTTGTTCTCACTCAATGGCTGCAAACAAACAACCGCACAGAGAAGGACAGCAGCCCGGAACACAGGGAGGAACCGTCTTGGTGAGATTCTGCTCCTCACAGATGGGGCTGGCACACAGGAGACTCTGCTAAATGATTCATTGACACCGGCCACAGCAGCGAGGAGAAAAACACGTCCGAAAAACCACCGCCGCAGCCGTAGCCCCCTGCTGCCCACTGAGGCCTGTGCACATCGTCTGTTCGAGAGAGTGCAGGGGACGGAGGAGCTATTTAAGGCCAAATGGACGCTGAGTGCTTGGTTATGGCGCGCAGACGGAAACGGCCGCTCTTTGTCCACAGAAGAATGGCTTTTCTCGCTGTTTTAGTCATAAAGGACGAGGATGAGATTGAGAAAAGTGTGTCGGCGGGAGAGAGAGGCTAACTTGTTTGTATGGGCATGTGTGGCCAAAACGCCGGGGAGCATAAGGAATAAGACAGATACAGGAGTTATTGGAATAAACAAACCCCTCAGCTTTTGTGAAGTTAGTTTTTCCATTTTACAGATTTTGAAGGTGACCACGACTGTTGTATATGTTGTTAAAGTCTGTTGATGCAGGATTGGGAATTAAGAGATAAAACAATGCTTCAAATCTAAATAGACTTTTCAGTTAAAGCTGAAAAAGCTGAGTGAATACAATAGCTACAATGCACTCCAAGTTAAAACAAAAATACATACATAGCAGCAAAAAAAATCTACATTTTGGTCGTCTGCGCCTTATGGACCAATACCAATGTGTTTTTATTTCTTGTGTTTGAACTGTTTGATAAGATAAGATAAGATAAGATAAGATAAACCTTTATTAGTCTCACAGTGGAGAAATTTCAGTGTCATCGTTGCACATTACAGCAGAGAAAGGAAATAAGAGCACTCAGATTGCACACATTAAAGTCTATTATTTAAGATAATAGGCAATAAATTTAAGATAAAATAAAATAAGAGAATCTGGGCTACAATTGCACTTGGTTCGGAGCATTTACAGATGTCTATATTATACATTAGCAGCGGAGAATATGAGAATATGAGAATAAACATCAGAAATAATAATATCAACAGGTAAGGTGACTTGAATGGGAGAATTATCAGATGGATATGAATAATAAAGTAAGATATCAACAGGTAAAGTGACGGTGGAAGGCAGAATTATCAGATATGAAATAATACAGTAGTACTGATAACAGTAAATATCAGATATGTAGTACTGTAGTAGTACTGATAACAGGTAAAGTGACTAGTGACAAAGTTACTAGTGAATTATCAGAAACACTTGTGCAGACTCAGCAGTTCCTGTTACACATTCTCGTTGTACAGTCTGACAGCAGCAGGAAGGAAAGACTTGCGAAACCTCTCCTTCAAACATCGAGGGTGAATGAGTCTGTCACTGAAGCTGCTCTCCAGAGCAGAGAGAGTGTCCTGCAGGGGGTAACAGTCATGGTCCAGCATAGATGTTAGTTTGCTCAGGACCCTCCTGTCCCCCACCTGCTGCACTGTGTCCAAGGAACAGCCCAGGACTGAGCTGGACTTCCTGATGACCTTGTCCAGCTTCTTCCTGTCCCTCTCTGTGATACTGCTGTTCCAGCAGACCACACCGTACAAGAGGCTGATGCCACCACAGAGTCATAGAAGGTCTTCAGGAGTGGCCTCTGCACTCCAAAAGACCTGAGCCTCCTCAGTAGGTAGAGGCGACTCTGGCCCTTCTTGAAGAGGGCGTCTGTGTTATGAGTCCAGTCCAGTTTGTGGTTCAGATGAACACCCAGGTACTTGTAAGAGTCCACTCTCTCAATGTCCTTTCCCTGGATGTTCACTGGAGCTGGAGCGGCAGAGTGACGTCTACGGAAATCCACCACCATCTCCTTGGTCTTCCCCGCGTTGATGAGGAGGTGGTTCCGCTGACACCAGTCCACAAAGTCCTGTATAACTCCTCTGTACTCTGTGTCATCGTCCTCGGAGCTGAGTCCGATGATGGCAGAGTCGTCTGAGAACTTCTGTAGAACACAACCGTCCGTGTTTGATTGGCAAATTCAATGGTTTTGTAAAGTCCTCGAGATAATTACTGCTGTGATTTAGGGCGATTAAATTGAAATTGAATTGAAATATTGCCAAAACAAGAGTGCTGTCTGTCGTCATGACCAATTATGTCTGAGATTGTCCATTTTGTGAAGGCTGTTCATAATAGCCACAATGCAATCCAAGCTAAAAAAAACATTGTAAAACCATTTAATTGCATTTTGAACCCTTTTTTTAAAATCAATTTCTGGGTCAGGGGTTTGCAATCGAAGCTGCCGTCCAATCCACAGAGCACCAGTCCCTCGCTGATCCTCCTGCAGGGGCTGGGTCCACAGGAAG